TTTGCAGTTATAAACGAGTTTTATTAAAAAGTGCAATGAAAGTTATAGAAGACAGACAAGTTCTTATTTTAGAAAAAAAGAAAAATTTAGTGCAAGACATAACACAAATGGTGGTGCAGTAAGTTATTGTAAATTTTATATTTCAAGTTTAAGTGAAACAAAATTATTTAACTTATGTAATATTTTTTCACACAGGTTAACAAATGCAATTAATACACGAGGAAAACAATTAGTTATGCGTCTAAATGAAGTTTGTGATCAGAAACAAAACACATTAAATGAGAAAAAAGTTGCTTTAGATCAATTATCTAAGCTTACTGATCATTGTATCCAATTTGTAACTCATGCCTTAAAAAAAGGTTCAGATATGGAATTACTTTATAGCAAAAAGTATGTATTTGAAATACTAAATATATGTATATAAATATAATAAATATAAATATTCCATAATTTTTTTTGCAGATCTGTTACAAGTCATTTACAAAGAATAAAAAGTAGACGAGCTGACATTCCAAATCCAGAAATACCAGTTAGAATAAATTTGTCCTTGGAGAAAGTACCAGATTTGATAAAAGGTTAAATTAATAATAATAGGTGCTTAATTATATGTTATTAAATAGGTAGTTTTATTGCTACAAGTAAAACTGATTTCCTTTTTTTTTTAAATTAGTCATCTAATAAATATTTGGTTTGTATAATATTAAATATTTTTTTTCTTTTCTTTCTTAATTTTAGTGGTTTCATCTATTGGAGGAATAGTAGTGGATGGTAGAGTATATCCTTCAATATCTCCACTGGGTGGAGTAAATACAACACCATCTATGCCATATAATGAATCACAGACAGATCAAAAGCAAACAACTAATCTGTCAAATGTACATATGGATGGTTCTTCCATAGCTGCACAATTACCTGTTGCTACACAACAATCTAATAGTATGCAACAAAATTCCTATCAACAAGTGCCTCTTCATATAGCATCTCAACAGCAGCAACAAACACAGTCGCAAAATTATATGCAACATTATCCTATGAATAACATGCCACCTCGGTCATCACCACAAGCACATCAACCTCGTGTACCATATCCAGTCAATTTCAATAACAGATTACAACAACCAATGATAATGCAACAACGTCCTTTGGGAAGCTGTCATCAACAAGTAACATCGTCCACACATCCTCATCAACAAGTTCACATAGATCAACTTGGTCAGAATACAAGTTTACGTGGACTTCTTGCACATAATCCACCACCTTTCCGATCTTCTACAAATCATGTATCATATCGATTGCCACCTTATAGATATCCTCCAAATAATTCCCAACGACCAGTACCACCACCTGCATATCAACCAACAAATACATCCATGGTATCTGGTATAAGACTTCAGCAATGTAATCCAACTTCTCCATCCGCACAACATATAAATTATCCTATGCAACAGCCACCTACAGCTCGTTGGCATATACCTCAAAATGTCAATCCCTGTCTTCCTTTTTATACTTCCCGCCATCAATCAAATACACCTTCCATGTCAGTTCCTACTAATGATACCTACAAGATAACGTTAAAAAATCAACAATCAAATGTAAATCAAAAATATAATACACAGACGACTACTGCTTCTGATACTCCACCTCAGTCACAAAGTTCAGTGTCTGTTGGTCATACAGTTAGTTCGTCAGTACCTAAAACGCCTAGTCCTGTGCCTCCTGGAAAATCAGATGAAACTGAAAAAAGTTTAGACAAATTTTGCCAAAAATCTTTGAATGATCTAATGCTTACTATCGCAAAATTAGATAGCAATGGAATTGTAGTAATACCAGAAGCTCAACGAAACCAATTAGATTCGGCCCAAGTAGATAGTTCAACTGATGAAGGGTTGAATCCAATGGCTGAGAATTCATCAGGTAATTTAATTGAAATAATAAAAATATGTAATTGTTATTCAAAATATTGGTTAAATATGTATTTTGTATGTATAAAGTATAAGTGTATATGTACAATTATGTGTCCAATAGATAATTCAAAAAATGCTGCAGCATCCATGGCAAAGGATGATCCAAATGAAGACTGGTGTGCAGTATGCATGGATGGAGGAGATGCAGTATTATGTTGTGATAAATGCCCAAAAGTCTTCCACTTATATTGTCATATTCCTAGTTTAAAATCGTTTCCTGAGTAAGTGTACGAATAATATAGTGTAATAATATTTATGTTTAATAGCTAATGTCAAATTTTGTTGTGCAATAGTGAAAGTGAAACATGGCAGTGTATGTTATGTACTAATGTACTAGACTGCTCAGATGACCCACCAGGAGAAAAAAGACCAAACACAATGAGTGCAAAAGAATTACGAATTGCACAAAGAATTGTGTTAGAACTTTATTGTCAATATGAGCAAAGCTTACCTTTCCGTGAAATAGTATCTAGTGAGGTAAATTTATTCTATCCAAATTTAAAAAATATATAAAATATATTGAAGGAACATAAAAGTTATTATTTCATTTATAATTAACAGATAGTTGATTATCATCGTATCATAAAAAAGCCAATTGCACTAGATGTAATTAGAGATAAATTAAAACCTGAGCATGCAGAACATTACACAGATTTAAGACAAGTAATGGCAGACATCAGATTGATGTTTAAAAATGCTTTTACTTATAATCCTGTAAGTTCTCTATTGAAGAATTTATATCATATAAAATATGATACAAAATTGTTATAAAAACATTCATACATTTCATATAATCATATACTTTTTTTTATTTAGGTTGAATCACAAGTGTATCAAGAAGCACGTAATTTAGAAGAATTTTTTGAAAAATTATTATTAAAATGGGCACCAAATTACGCATATGACGATCCTTTTCTTTCGGGTGACAAGGACGAAGACGAAGAAGTGTTTCCTCCTAATAGAAAATATCGTCGTATACTTACAGACTAATTTTCACTTTCCGTAATTAAGCACATAAACAAGTATATTATTTTTAAAACACATAGCAGAATTATATTTCCATATAATGAATATTTCTTAATTATATTTAATATTGCTTTTCGTGTTTAATTAATTAATAAATGTCTATAAATACTTACGGATACTAACAATTGAGCAGACATTTACAACTGTAGTATAGACTTCTTCACATTTTATGTTCAGTGAAGAAAATTTTACTTCTTGCTTAATATTGCGAGCTTATTGCATGAATTTATAAATTAAAGGTGATCACAAATTTAGTTCATAAAATATTTGAGTGTGTTGACTATTTCTTATAAATTTATCATAAAATCTGTTAGAAAACCTATCATTTAATTATATCAATAATAAAATTACTAAAAAATAATTGCATTAATTTTACAATAAAATATTTCAGTAAATATATAAGTATTTTTTTACAAAGTATTACGACTTTATATACATGCATATATGTGTGTATGTATATAATATATACACAGAGTGTTCATATGTGACAGTATTGCAGAGTTGAGTTGAGGATATAAAAATGGAAAAACAAAAATTCAGATAAACATATGAACTATTTTTGTGTTCTCAATTTACTTCTCTAATATACTCACATAGTACGAAACATTTTGTATATCTGTATTATCATTTTAATAAAACTATAGAAAAAATGTTGAATTACTTGTTGATAAAAAATTACAGTTAACTATGTAACATATTGACTGAAAATTTTATAAATTAATATCATTTTTAAAATGTTTTGCTGTAAGAAAACCGTTTAATTGTTAATATTCTGATGTATTTGATAAGTAAATACATGTTTGTTACTCGAAAATGAACAAAAGATTGAAATATATTAACATTTGAATTTTCATGTTTATTTCTCATTTTATTATAATTAATTTTATTATTTAAATTGTCTTATATTAAAACGTTTTAATGCATTTACTTGGTAGCATCAAATGTAGACAACTATGTTGTTAAATTTCACATTATTGTATTACACCAGATGTACAAAATAATCTTACATAAAATATACGGAATGGAATTTTTTAAAATTGTTTTATCGTTTCCAAAATTATAATTTGTAATACACATTTTACTCTTACAAAATTTAATATTAATTAAATTACTTTAATACAACAAAAAGATTAATAATTTTAAAATGTATTGCATCATAACTTAAAAGTTATATTACACATCAGAATAAAATTTTACAATAAAGATGAAATTGATGTGTAATAATTTTATAAGTACAATAAATTTATGTAATATTGCATGATACTCTTATATATGTATATAGTTACATAGTAATTTCTTTTCATTGTGTGGGAAATTCATATATTTATATTTATGAATATTTACATCTTAATTTTATTTTTCTATTTTTATAATAAAAATGACAATGAAAAGTTATTTTACATAGTGTAATTTAATTCAATAAATACTTTCTACTTATATTAATGAATTATTGTTGATAATTTATTACTTCTAAATGATTCCAAATATAAAAAAGATGTATAATATTGGAAACTTTATTACCTACTTACTTTACTACTTAATGGTTGCATTGGAAGACAGTTTCGTGGCCCTTTTTCCATTATGAAAGAAACATTTGTACGAGTAACCAATCGCATGCTTGTATTCAGTAGTCAGTGTTAGGTAACTGTCTTATAACGTTATGAATTCAAATGTATGATATCCGCATATATATATGCATATTACATATATATATGCATATTACTTTTAAACTGTCAATCGGGTTTTGTAGCAGAAGAAGTATTTCTGTATTTATTTAAAAACATATTATGAATTTGACAAATTTAATTTATAACGTATCTTTTATCGCTTTTGTAACTTTTCTTTCTTTAAAGGTGAAAATATAAGTATGTTAATTTTAAATGATCAATTAATACTTTCGTGATAATATATACACGTACATACCTACATGTTTGTTTATGTGTATGTGTGTGTTTTAAGATTATTTAAAGCTTTTTAATAATTTTCAGTAATTCGTAGTTAGAATTTTGAATAAGAAATAAAATAATATTTTTTGTTAAAATGAATTTAAAAATTTTATACATATCAAAAGAATTTAATAATGTCACATGAGACTAATAATGTTATATCCTTAAAAATGTCATAATATAATTTACATTTTCCCGTTTGTATGTGTTAATATATATATTTATGTATGTAAATCATTGGAGTGTTTATACTTCTTTAATATACAACTATATTATAAATGAAATTTACATATTAAAATTATTATACATTCCATGCCCATTCAAAAAATGGACTTAGAAGCAACTGTAGTTAAACGTTTACAAAAACTGAGGCAGTGGCAGTTAGAACAACAAGAACGATTGTTGAAACAGCAAGAGATACAAAGACAGATGTTAACTCAGAAACAAGATTGTATGTATAAAGCGCTTGAATTATCAATACAAGAACTTGATCTGGATAAAGATATATTAGATATAAATAATTCAAATGAATCTGATAAAAATACTGGAATTAATAATAAAAATCTAATTATGTTACATAATAAACCACAAACGAAAGAAAATTATACACAAGCAATAAATAAGAATGACTCATGCATTGATCAAAATATAAGTGGCAATTTTGAAAACATAATTTCACGACAAAAGTCACCGACACAAAGATTCATTAAAGATGTAATTAACATTGAAAGCCATATAAGAAGACAGTCAAAAGATAAAACAGGTATAAAAAATGACATAGAAGAAGAAAAACAACTAGAACAATTTATTATGGATGGAGTAGCACCATTACCACCTGATAAAATAGTTGTTCATCACATTTCTATTGATGATGTACCAATATTTTCTCCGAAAAAGGATTTTCATACATTGCTTGAAGAAAGATTGAAAGACAGTGAAAATGAACTTCCTGGAAAAAAGTCTAGTGCTAGTTCAGGGAATAAAATAAAAAGGCCATTTTTAAGAAAAGGAGAAGGTTTGGCTCGATTTAAATTGAATCAACAATTACAACCTTCTACATTGAAAACAAGATTACATAGTATATCATTTACTAACAATACACAATCTAGTTCTAAATGTCCTAGAAATGAAGATAAATGCAATAAAACTCAACATTTAAAGAATGCACAATTATCAAAAAAGACACATTGTATAAATGTAGCTCAAAAACATTTATGTCTAAAAAATGTTTCATTACCAAAGAAAAAAATTCGTAGTACGCCTAAATCTAATACCACAACTACATATTTGAAAGATGATATTAATGAAGTGAAAAATGCAGTTGAATTAAATACTTCAGATTTTCATTCTGGAACTCAGAAAGAATTAGAAGAAGTAAGAATATTTGAATTGTTAGAAGAAAAAGCAGAGAATTCTAGCTTCTGTTCTACATCTAGTGCAGTTACTGCATTCTTACAACAATCAACACCATTTAAAATAAAAAATGCTGAATATAGAATGGGCAGTAGTGTGCACAATGCGAAACAAGTTACTCCAAGAAGTAACATACCTAAAGAACAATTGATTGTAAAATCTAATCAAGCATATAAATGTATGAAGTCCAATAAGGATACTGATACTCACTGCGATCTCTTACCTTTTATAAATCAAAAGATTATTCATGATGATATACATGAAGATATAATGTTTTTGCAAAATACTAATGAAGACAATAGAATAAAACCAAATAGAAATGGATACATGTCATTAAGGGATCAAATCGAATCTATATATAATGAACAGAATGTTATAAATAGAATTGATGTTCCTATTGCTGAAGACAATAAAGAAGTCAGTCCTCATGTTAGATTTTCTGAATTTAATGAATACAAAACAATTGGATTAACAGATACCTCAAGTATATCAACTGAATCATTAGTAACAAAAAGCTTTTCAGATGAAAAGGCTTGGAGTGATTCCTCAATCCTAGAAACATCTACTGTACAAACATTATCAGTGCCATTTGAAGTATCACAGTCTCCTGTAATAATGAAAAGTAAAATGCATAAGGCACAAACCTGTAAAGATATGACAGAGAACAATGATTCTACTTGTAATACAGATGATATGTACCAAAATGTGTGTCATAAAGATGAATCAGAGTTATCAGATACTGAGGATTTAACTTCCAATGATGAAGTAAGTAATTTACATAAATCTGGACAAGATGATTTAACACCACAAAAAATTGATAACTTTTATGATATTGGAACATTTAAAAAAAATATGAAATTTTGTGACAACAAAAAAATAGATGAATATGTAGATAATCATAATAATGTAGTTGTAACTGAAGATCAGGAAAATATAAAATACTTACAAGAAACAAACGAAACTATTTTTAAATCAGAACTTTTAAAAGCTCGTTTATTGGAACTTGAGCAGGAAATCAATATATTTCGTAAAGAAAATGCAGCTTTATTTATGCAGCGTAAAAAATTACGTGAAGATCATCAAAGTTTACGCAAAGAGTATGCGGAAAAAGAAAAAAATTTTGCAGAAAATAAAAAACAAGTAGAAGAGCGTTTACAAGAAGAAAGGAAAAAGCTTGCACGTGAAAAGTCCGCATTAGAAAATAGAATGCGAGATTCACAAGAAAAAGCTCAACAAAGTAAATTGGAAAGACAGGAAATCCAAAATTTGAAGCAAGAAATAGAACAATTGGTGCAGGATATGCATATAAAGGAAAGTAGATGGAATGCAGCACAATCTAGACATAGATGTCAAATGAGAATATTAAAATTAGAAAATTCAAAACTGAAACAAGAAGTAGAGAAATTAAAGAAAAATAATATTAGGAATAAAGGAAGATCTGGAGCTTCTGCAAATACAAGAGCAATTCATCAAATTAATAAACAAATTGACATGCAGTATAAAGAATCTAAAAAAATTAATGATGCTTCATCAGATGATGATCAAAAATTGACAGAACCAATAATGAAGACAATAAGTATAGCTAGTGAACAGGATATAGAAAAAAAGAAGGAATATAATTGTAATAGTAATACGAATATTATGAATGATAAACCACCAAAAAATCAAACAACTATAATAGATATTGTTAAAAAACGAAATTTATATGAAAATTTAATCAAAGAAGCAACATTAGATTTAACAGAAATTCCAGAAAAATTTGATGCTCTTGAAAATTTAAGTGAGTCTAAGTCAGACTCAAACAATGAATTGAAAAAAGTAAATAGTCAAACAAATGTTACAAAAGCTAATTGTAAAAAATCATATAAAGAATGTGATACACCTTTTAATCATAATGGTATTAATGACAATACTCAATTACATGTGCAAAATGATTATAAATGTTTTAATGAAAATTATACAAAAGATTTAGCATCAGCAGATAAACTACCTAATATACACATAGAGAATATATCTTTGTCTTACCGAAGTAATACTAGTACTGATAAACAAGGTATGACACAGATTGAACACCCTGATGGTTCTATTGAATGTCGATTTCCAAATGGAAATATTAAGAAGATATTTCCCGATCAAGGTATAACTAAGTTAATATATTATAATGGCGATATTCGTGAAACTAATAGAGATGGAAAAATAAAATATTTTTATGCATCAACACATACATGGCACACAACAATGCCAGATGGTTTAGAGATTTTAGAATTTTCTGAGTAAGCTTTATTCATCACTTCATTTTATTATTTAATTTTTAATTTCAGCATATAAAAATTTATTATTCAGTGAATATTACTTCTTCTATTATTTAGTGGTCAAGTAGAAAGAAGATTGCACGATGGTACAGTAGAAGTATTATTTCCAGATGGTTCAGTACGAATCGTAAAGTCAGATGGTATTGAAAAATGGACATTACCAGATGGAACATTAATGCAAATTTTTACTAATGGTGAAAAAGTTCTTACTTTACCAAATGGACAACGTGAAATACATACTAGTACTCATAAGGTAACAAGCAAGAATATTTCCACAAAAATATATATTCCTTAACTTTTTATAAAATACATATATGTACAAAACATACTTATATTATACATATTTATACTTTAATACTTTTATATAAAATTTAGAGACGTGAATATCCTGATGGAACCATTAAATTAATCTATCTTGATGGCGCACAGGAAACACGATATTCAAATGGCAGAATACGTCTCAAAGATAAAGATGGTAATCTTTTAATGGATTCCTATCAATAGAAATTATATCACACCTAACAAAATTGAGGATAGTATCTAACGAAACAATTAAATTTTATTTAAAGTTATGCATATTTAACATAAATATATTTTTAATAATAATAAATAAATAAAATTATAATTAGATATATTTGAGATATGTTTTAAGTAAATAAAAATAAAGACTGAATCTTTTACTGTTAACATAAAGTGTAGTAGTGTTTCCAAATTATGAATATCTCTCGCATAACTAGAGTAGATTAAATAAAATTGTGATCAATGGTACATATTGCCTTTTTGAGGTGAGGAGATTACCCTGAATCATGCTTATATATACATATGTATATGATCGATCATAGAAACTCATCTCTGTATAGACAGGTCTCGACACTCGCTAGGGATAACCACCTGAAAACTAAATTGTGATTATTGTGAAAAATCAATATGGAAGATAACAAAGTTCGCGTTCTTACAAGGTAGACAGAGGTGAGTAGAATGTCTCTGTCTTTATCTAAGACAGTCATAGTATATCACGCCTACATAGAACGAGAACATTCTTATGTTCCATATTGATTTTTCACGACTCAATTTTCAAATGGTTTTTTTAGTGCTTTTAATATGTCTAGACTTGTTTATATGATTGTGTTATCTACAATTTTGACGTTTGAAAAATGTTATTAATAACTAAAACATTAACTTTATAATTACTTGTTTAATATTACAATGTGGGCATAATACAGAAAAAGATGATAGAAGAAAGAAATAAATGACATGAAAGATTCCACCGCTGGATAGCGCTACTTTACACGGAAACTCCACGAGCGACATTTTATAGTGCAATATCGTGTAGTCATATGACTACCTTTGTTGTTCTTAATAGGAAAATAAAGAAAGACATATGGTCGTAGTAGAATCGCGCGCGTACGAAAATGTTGCTCGTGTACATTTAGCCTAAAGCTGTCCGAACAAAAATATATTTTTATGTTGCTATAACAACATAATCCGGTGTATACTTGGATCCGATAATGTCGATTCAAATCAGTTAAAAAATTTGATTGTTAATTTATTATAGCAATGCCTGTACGTCCAAGTTTTAAAAAATGGGTTATAGGATTTGGCGCATTAGGTGGTGCGATGTTCTTTTATCCACATAATAATGATAATAATAAATTATTGCACACGGACAAATCTAGGATATCTTCTTCTTGGGATTATAACTGGGATAGGTTGTATTCATTGTTATTATTGTTACCAATAAAAATGTCACTGGCTTCGCAATACAATGATAGCGTACAATTAAAATTCTATTTTATTTCTCCTTTGTTATGTATCATAAATAAATAAATAGAAGAACTTAAATGTTTTCTTAATAAGTAGTTGATAGATTAAAATTAAGAGCATTTCTGTTAGTTTCTTTCTAAATAATGCATAATTCTTTATTCTATTTGAGATTTTGACATTATTTTATTGATATTTTATTAAATAAATGTATGTGTTAAATATTTGTTGTTCCTTATATTATTTGATATTATATTGATATTGCATTCTGCTTTTGTGTATTTACTTTTGATTCATTATTTTGGTCCTTTTATTTGTATGATTTTATTTATAGGAGAGATCCAAAAAGTTTAGTGAAACCAATGAAACCAGACAACGAATCTAATCAAAATACATATCATGAACAATTAATAAATAAAACAGCGAAAGCTACACGTCACATAATTTTAATTCGTCATGGACAATATAATGTGGAAGCTAAGACAGATGCAGATGGGACACTTACAAATCTTGGTTAGTATTTCCAATATAAAGCATGTTTAGTTTATTTGTATATATGTTATTATTCCCTTAATTATTGAAAATACAAAAGAATGTTTTATATGAAAGACTTCATGGAGGAAATTTAATAAACTAATTCAATGTTTTTTTTATATTTTTATTTAAAAAGATTTCAATGCTGATATAAATTTTTTTAATGGAACTCAATCAACATTCAATATATCTTTTTAATTGTATACAAAGAAGTACTTGGGTCAAAAATGATTACTTTAAAAGATGTTTCAATTTTAATCATGCAAAACTTATTGTATGAAGACAAGGAAAACATAAACATAAAAACATTTGTTGTCTTAAAGTTAAAATTGATCCAAGGATTTTTTGTAGATAATTAAAAGGTGCATTAAATACTGTATAAAAAAATGTACAGTTCCATTTTAAAAAGTTAAATTGGTATTGAAATCTCTTTAAATAAGAATATAAAAAAAACATTGAATTAGTTTATTAAATTTCTCCCATGAAGTCAAACTTTCATATAAAACATTCTTTTGTATTTTCAATAGTTCAAGGAATAATTGTGTGTATACAAATGAACTAGGCATATAGTAAAATGTACATTTTCAATAATTAAAGAAATAATAGTGTATATGCAAATAAACCAAACATACGGTATATAGCAAAATGAACTATTATAGTTATAAACTGTTAAAATGTTATAAAGGTAGGCAACAAGCTGAGGCAACAGGAAAACGACTGCAAGAATTAGGTTTTCCATATACTTTGCTTGTACATTCAACAATGACAAGGGCTCAAGAAACTGCTAAAATCATAGAAAAATCTCTTAAAAATATAAAGGTAAAGTGTGATCCAATTCTTAACGAGGGTTCACCAATTCAACCTGAACCTCCATCATCTAACTGGAAACCTGAAGTAAATGTAAGAATATTACTACTTATATGAATTTAAAACTTCTATGTATATATTTTTTAAACTTGATATTGTGTTTAGTTAAAATAATATTGAATAATATTAACACATTTCAGTATTATAGAGATGGACCTAGAATCGAGGCTGCATTTAGAAAGTATTTTCATCGTGCAGATTTCAGTCAGAAAAATGATTCATATACAATTCTTGTTTGCCATGCAAATGTTATTAGATATTTTGTATGCAGGTACACTACTTTATATAATCACTCTCATAATGGATTTGTATTAAACATTTTTCCTTAAATATCGATACTCATTTCAGAGCATTGCAATTTCCACCCAAAAGCTGGTTGCGATTAAGCTTGAATCATGCTAGTATTACGTGGGTTACTATTTACCCTGATGGTATTGTAAAATTATGGGTATTTGGTGAATCAGGACATATGAAACCACAACTTATTTCATAACTAAATTGACCATAGCGTATCACTTTATTTAATAAAATACACTTACGTTATCTACATTTGATATCATTTTAATATATAAATTTTACAAGAACGTATTTTTAACCATTTATTTTATCTATGAAAGCTTATAATTTGTTAATAAAAAACTAAGAAATACTTTTTTAATTATTAACAATCAAGGACAGTACATTTAAAGACTGATGAAAAATACATATTCTTATATTTGCGATAAGTCTTATTATTATAAACCTCCACCTAAACAAAATTTATGTCTCTGGTAAGATACTCCCTTTGAAACAATGTATATAAATCCTATTTGCAAATAAATATGCAAAGTGTATAAATATTTATATATACCACGTAAAAACTATATATTACTATATATTACTACGTATAATAATAATTACTATGTATTACACCTATTACTCTGAAAATATTTTGAAAAAATATGTACTTAATCTGATTGTAAAATTACAAATATCTAATATACATATATATGTATGTATTATATATGTATATCCGCGAATCTTATATGGAATAAAAATAGTTAAATTATATTTCAATTATTTCATGTTAAAATATAATTTGTACCTAATATGAACTTCAACAATGAGTCGTTTTTATAAAAAAGAGGGAAATTGATTTAAGTGCCAAGGAATCATTTCAAATTTCCCGGACAAGAAGTAATGATTTTAAGCGGCAGTAAGCAGTTACTATTCAAATAATTTTCAAAGTATGGGAAAATTCTCCAATTTTATCTTTCTGATCTCATCACTGATATTGAAATAGCATTTAACTTATCTCGCCTCTTAACAAAACATATTTACTGTTTTTATAACTATTATAAAAGAAGGTATATAGATAGCGATCGCGTAAATACGTTCCACAGATGAGCAGTATTGGTTTAAATCGTTAAAAAAATTTAGTCGCTGCAATTTACTACAATAATGCCTATACGTTTAAATTTTAAAAAATGGATCGGTGGATTTGTTGCGATAGGTGGTGCAGCTCTTTTTTATCCAAATGAAAACGATCATACTCAATCATCAGAAAAACAATCTTGGATAATACCTCCGTCATCCTGGGGCAGATGGGATCATAATTGGGATAGGTTATATTCTTTACTGCTATTGTATTTATTTATAAAAATATTATTGATTCTACAAATTAATAATTATATATAATTAAGGCCCTCTTTCGTTCCTTTTTCTTACGTCAAATTAAATAAATATCACAAATAAAATTCCTGTACTAAATATACTTTGTATACATGTATATTGCTAAAATAAATATTATTCCAGTATTTGTAAATTTTCATCTACTTCATATTCATTGGATAGTGTAAAACATTTTTTTTTCTTTGTTTAGAATTTATTTCTACTATTTAAAAGTTCAATTTATAATTTGTTGTGTCTATTTGTAGACGACATTCAGAATGGCTAGCAAATGTAGCTAAATTAAACAATGAAAGTGATAAAGAGTCACGTAAAAAGAGATCTATTACAAACGACAAACAACAATCAAATGTTAGACATCACATAATTTTAATCCGTCATGGGCAATATAATACAAATGGTAAAACGGATTCAGATCGAATACTTACAACTCTTGGTTGGTATCTCTCATGTTATTTATGTATTATTATGTCATATATATTAATATTTTATAATTTTATAAATATATTAAGTTTTGTCATTTACTGTGTAAAAATATACGTTACAAAGGCAGACAACAGGCTGAAGCAACAGGAAAAAGATTACAGGAATTAGGATTACCATACTCCATGATTATACAATCAACAATAGTCAGAGCTAAAGAAACTGCTAAAATTATAAAAAAATATCTTAACGATATAATTGTTGAGGAAGATTCTGTTCTTAGTGAAGGTATGCCAATTGCACCTGATCCACCAATTGATATTTGGAACTCTGAAGTCGTTGTAAGTATACTATGTTATTATGGGAATTTTTATTTTTTTTCTATTATATTATAATATTATGTAATATATTTTAGGTTTATGAAGATGGACCTAGAATAGAAGCTGCATTTAGAAAATATTTTCATCGTCCAGAACCCAGCCAGGAAAAGGATTCATATGTTATTCTTGTTTGCCATGCAAACGTTATTAGATATTTTGTATGCCGGTAACTATTCATAAAAAATGATATTCGCGTAATAGTAACGTGTTTGTTGCCCAGTCTGAAAATACCGTGCAGTCGGACTTTTAGAGCGAAATCGCGGGCTAGGTAGCGAACGTATTAATACACAGAATTAAATGCTTCTTTATTATGTGTTTCAGAGCATTGCAATTTCCACCTGAGGGTTGGTTGCGTTTAAGTCTAAATCATGGAAGTATTACATGGGTATCTATTCGATCTAATGGGAGAGTAACACTAAGAAATTTAGGTGATAGTGGACATATGGAGCCACAGCTTATTTCATCTTATTGAAACTGAATGATATAACTTATACCTTTGTTTAATAATGAAATATTTAAGTTATGCAATTTATAATAAGTAATATAGGAACAAAATATTTTTGATTATTCATTTGTGAAATAACTAATATTATAACTTCATCATAAAAAATTTTTGCAAGCATTATTAAATATCAAAAATTAAGTTTAATATTTGAAATAATTTTAAAATTAAGAAAAATATTTATGTTTTCATTACTGTATGTTAATATTGTAGAATTTAAAGAGGTATATTATAATTATAATGTGCCATCATTTGTTTCTATGTATAGAAATTTATATTTTATAATATTGAAAAGACAGACGTTTTTCCGGAATACAGTGTATCATTAGTGCAATTTCTATACAATTTTATATTACAAATGCTATATTAAAAAAATGTTATCATACATATAGTGTAATCGTTTTCCTAAACAAAAGATTGCTGAAATTACTTAGTACTTAAACACACAGATACATAGACAAACAATTCCTTCCTTGTACACACACTTTATAGTGACATTAAATTATGCAACTGATAACCTCATAGATTTTCTAGCATAATATCTTTGCAATGCTGCTTCAAATACAGGCCCAACTGTTCTTTTTTCCCAAATCTTAGATCTCTCTCTTTTCTCTGCTTCTATTTTTTCTTTTGCACTAATACTTATTTTTTCAATTTCATCATTTTTACTATTTTCTAATATTTTTTCCACATCCTTTGAATTTATGGGATTTTCTATTTTGGTCTCATTACAACTTTTTTCAAGTTTAGCACTTTCAGTTTGTTGTTTTTGTTTTTTAACATCAGGTTCCTCTATTCTTTCAGATTCCCTTTCAACATTTTTACGTTTTTCAGGTACAGGAGTTTTTACTTTATTTTCCATTTTCTGTTGAATTTCAGTATCTGTATCACTATCTTCTTCTATTTTTCTTTGCCTATATTGTCTATTCTTTTTTATTTCTTTATTTTTTACCTGATCTTTGTTGTGATTGATATTTATTTCTTTATTCATATCCTCTAAATTGTTATCTAAATTAGTTTTATTATCATTAGTATCATTCTTAACTCCAGATTCCTCTGAAGATTGAACAACAGTCTGTTCATACAAATGTCTATAAAATCCTGAAATATCTTGTTGCTTTTTAACATCTGCAATAGCTTCTAATTTATCCATTTTATTTTCCTCTTCTTCCATTTTCTTAAATTCTTCTAATTTTGCTCTATAAGCAGAAGTAACAAAACTTTCTTTGTCTGCATACATTTCTCCCTCTGCTTCACGTTCTTTCTGAACCATTCTTTCTATTCTATATTCCTGTTCTTTTTTTCTTCGCTCTGCAGCTTTTAAAAGATTTTGAATATACCTTGGTTTCTTTTTTTCATCTTTTGCAGTTTTGGACTGATCTTTTGTCCTTTCCATGTCATCATATACTTCATCATATTGAAATATTGTTGGGTCTTCCTTTAAAGCCTTTTGCATATTTAATCTTACTTGCCTTTTTATTTTATTTTTTTCTCCCTCTGCCTGAAGAGCCTTTTTAACCCAATCTGTACCATCTTCCTCATCCGAATCATTATTATCGCCAAATATGTTGCTTACCTTTGGGGCAATACGTTGTTGCTTTTTAGGTAAAATTAAACCATACCTAAAATTTTTTGTAATAGTGAATGACCTTTTATTTTTCTATTTTCTTTAATTGGTTATTAATATTTTTACACAACTTACTGTTTTTCTTCTTTGCTGTTAGACATGTTTCGAAATATTATTCACTGAAGTCATACAAATTGTTATCTACTATTACATAAAATAATTTGTGTACATTTTGTAAGCAATCGAATAAAATTCGTAGAAGTAAGATCATAACCTCTCTCCGACAATATTTTTCGAAATAATTTTCAGTGAAATTACAATGTTTCTAATATTGAAACAAAGTTTTATCGTTATATCTAACAAAAGATAAGAAATAAGAAACTTAGAATATTTGAAATAAACTAATATGCATTTGACTTTCCCTTATCAATTATTTATTCAATATTGTCTTTAGAATTTAATTTGAATTATACCAAGATATCTTTAAACTAAGATTTCATATAAATTAGTTATAAACATCTTTTTACTGCCAACTCAAAATTATATATACATATACATATATATTTAAGAATATCATTAGTAATTTATGAACTATTTCAACTATATATATTATGTATACATACATATGTAAATACTTGGTATCACAAAGGAAAAGGAAGAGAAAAATTATTCTTATCAAAAATTTTTATCCATGTACAGTATGTTATATACATACAAATAAAACGTTTCTTACTATGTTACTTACACATATACAAGAATTCATTTTTCTTTCATTAAAATTTCTGTGATTTTTTACGAGAAATTGTTATAGAAATTTAAAAAATAATACAGATGTTACACATGTAATATATATATATATATAATATATATATATAATATATATAAAATAATTGAACAATAAATGTTTTTATTCTCAATGAAAAATTATACATATACATATATCTATATCATTCCTAGTAATCTTCTACCCTACTCTGCCCACGCTCGCACTTGTGGACGTCATCAGTACTTTTATGCTATATTAACACCGACATCGTGAATTGTGTAGAATGTTTCGTTAAAGTCAAAAAAGCTTGTTATATTCTTACGCTAATAAATATTTAAATATGGTACACGCACGTATTATCTATAACATCGTGTTACTTTTTTTCTTAATTATTGGAATTATTAATGGTTTTGTGATAAATTCTGACAACAAATTAGATGAGGATTTTGTCATCCCACATTACACAAATTATGAAGAGCTTCAACAGTTGTTTAATTCATTGGTTCTAAAATATCCAAATTTGGCAAGAGTGTTTTCCATAGGAAAATCCGTGGAAGGCAGAGATTTGTTAGTTATTGAAATTTCTGAAAATGTTAAGGAACGAAAACTGTGTGAACCGATGGTGAAATATGTTGCTAATATGCATGGTGATGAAACTGTTGGTAGAGAATTATTAGTATATCTTGCTCAATATCTTTTGAAGAATTATGGGAAAGATGAAAGAATTACAAAATTAGTGAATAATACTGATATCTACCTTATGCCGTCAATGAATCCTGATGGCTTTGAAAAATCAGCGGTAATGTTTCTATTTTTTGTTATTATTTCCCTTTATGATTTAAGTTAATTTAAATCCATGCATATATTGGTCTAATGTTCTTTTGAACTTTTAGGAAGGAAACTGTGACTCGAGAAAAGATTTTTCTGGTCGTGAAAATGCAAATCATGTTGATTTAAATAGGAATTTTCCAGATCAGTTTAATAGAAGAACTAATTATCTCCAACAAGGTGGCACTATATTAGATGGACGTCAGAATGAAACAGTAGCCATGATGACTTGGATTGCTACAGAACCATTTGTATTATCAGGAAATCTTCATGGAGGTGCTGTTGTAGCAAGTTATCCTTATGATTCTGGGTAATATAATAATAAATGCAATTATAAAATAAATTATGAAATTTTACTTATTATTTTATAAAAGTTATATATTGTATTGATTTTTAGCATTCAAGGATCTTGTTGTATTGAAAGTAAAAGTCCAGATGATGAGTTATTCAAATATTTAGCACATACATATGCAGATAATCATCCACAAATGCGTACAGGTACAGCATGCAGTTCTGATGTTTTTCAGGGTGGTGTTACCAATGGTGCATATTGGTGAGCATACATATCTGAATTATTTGTTTTTGGAAAATATTATTTGTGAAGAAAATGTTATTAAACTTTATCTGTTTTAGGTATGAAGTTGTTGGAGGGATGCAAGACTTCAATTATGCTCGCTCCAATGCACTTGAGATAACATTTGAACTTAGTTGTTGTAAATATCCATATGCCTCAGAAATGCCAGAACATTGGAGATTAAATAAGGAATCTCTTATAAAATATCTCGAGCAAGCCCATATTGGAGTAACAGGTCTTTAAATATTCATTAAGTATAATTATTTATTAATAACGATGGTATATATTAATTTATATTTTATAATTTTAGGTCTTGTAAGAGATATAAATGGGCAACCAATAGAAGGAGCAACTATCATTGTGCATGGAATAAATCATAATGTATCCACTACACCTCATGGAGAATATTGGCGTTTGTTACTGCCTGGAACATATAACATGCATGCAGAAGCATGGGCGTGAGTATACATAACGTTGTTACAAAACTAGTATTTTGTTTAGTAAGGTTTGATCTATATATCAACTTTTTATGATTTTAGATATCATCCAAGTGAACAAATAAATGTGACAGTAAAATCGGATGAACCAACTATTGTCAATTTCACTTTAACACAGGATACTTATGATGATCAAGGTAATCAGGATGCTCCTTTTGTTCATACACTCCCACTTCCTAATCAGAATTTTGCACTGTATAAACTAATACCATCTTATGATGATATGAATTACTAGTTATATTTACATATACGTAATTAAAGAATTTTCTTGTCTTTTATTTGTTTTCTCATAAAATTGAAAATGAAACGAAATTATTATTTTTTATATTTACATATGAATTTATTATTTGTTTCATGAATTAGTTTTATCATCATTCTTATTTTCATTTTACAGCACTGATATGATTATATCACAAGAGTATGTGATACTGCCATTTCTATACATTTTATTATCGTTTATGTCCTTAATATAAGCAAATATAAAAAAGATACACACAAGGTATGGAGAAAAAGATAAAGAAACTTTCTGATTTGCACAAAAATAATTATTTACAGTGAAAGTTATTTACTTATGAACTAATTGGAGCATAAACATATGTTAAACATAAATTTGTTAATCATTTTTATTATTTTTATGTTTACGTTTATTTGTTATATTATTTTTTATTTGTTTTTTAAATTTATTTGTCCTGTTTTGTATCTAGGGAAAGATATTTTAAATGCAAAAGTTTGTTAAATAAAAAAGAATGTAATAAGTTTATAATTTTAAACAATTGGTCTAAATACTTTGTAGATGTACAATTGGATTGTGAGAACTAAGCATTACTGCACATCAAAAACATATCTTCTTGTAACACTCACATTTTTGAGGTGAATAACTTTTATGTTATCGAACAAATAGCAAATCGTGATTTATTTTTTGTTTGAATGCTCTCTTTTATATTAGTGAACAATTACAAGAACAAATAACATAACAAATAAAGTTTTTAAAAATGATTATAAAAATATTTTGTAGTATCTCTTCCTTAAATTTCATGTGTTCATTTAAATGTTCATTTAAAGATCTGTATTATGAAAATCAGATTAAACTTTATAAACAAGAAAAACTACACACTAAAAGTAGAAGGTTTATTTCATTAAATGTAAAGAATATGTTAATCTCATTTTTATGAAGTAAATGAGATACATATATAAGAAAATATGTATGAATTATGAAAAATATATCCAAAGATTTTTAGTATGAAACGTAAATATCTTTAGGTAATTTTATTAATATTAACAAAAATATGTAAAACACTGAGAGATGTTTATGATCATATTTGTAATTTGATGTATAGCATAATATAATCAAATTGAATGTATAATGTCTAAAAAATTAAAAAATAAAATACTATATTTGTTTCAAACAGTGAGTTAGTTTTCTCAAATGTTTTCCAGCCTTTTCCTATATTTTTTATCCATCAAGTAGTGATACATCTTGAATATTATTATAATATATTATTTATTGTTTCTTTGGTTTTTTGTGTTCTCTATACCTTGTGTTGTGTTGTAAATGTTGTAATAGTTGCATATTTTTTAAATTTTTAGTTTCATGTTTTTCATAATTTATTTTTGTCTTTTTAATGCATATGAAAAGTTTATTATAGAAGATATATTTACATATGTACTTTTTGTTGAACTATTAATTTTTTTATTTAAGACATTTATTTTTACAATACGATAGTTTTAATTGTTTTGTAATATTATGTTAATTTGTAGGAAAATTAAAGTCAGATGAAGTTGAGGAATTTATTAGACCTACTGACAAATATGGTTTTCTCCATAATACGGAATTCAAACATCATAATTACATAGCAATGGAAAAATTCTTGAAAGAATTAAATTTGAATTATCCAAATATCACAAGGCTTTATAGTATAGGAGAGTCTGTTAAAGGACGTCAGTTATATGTTATGGAAATAACAGAAAATCCTGGTAAACATAGCCAAAATAAACCTGAAGTAAAATATATAGGAAACATGCATGGGAATGAAGTTGTTGGCAGAGAAATTTTACTAATGCTGTTGAAGTTCCTTTGTGAAAATTTTGGAACTGACAAAAGAGTTACGAAAATATTAAAGAGTGTCAGACTACATGTAATGCCAAGCATGAATCCAGATGGTTATGAAATTTCTAGAGAAGAAAATATATATGAAGGAAGAACAAATGCTAAAAATGTTGATCTCAACAGAAATTTTCCTGATCAATATGAAACAAATAATGTATGAATTTCCACTTTTTTATTGTTTCACTTTTGACGGATTTAGCACATTTTATATTTATATCTATTAAATGTTTATTGATTCTATAAATTTAGATTACTAGTTATATTTTTATATTTTACAGTATAATAAAGAACCAGAACCTGAGACGAAAGCAGTAATGAATTGGATTGCAAGTATTCCATTTGTACTTTCTGCTAATTTTCATGGAGGAGCATTAGTGGCAAATTATCCATATGATAATAAACCAGAATACATGTATGATAATGAAAATCTAAGTCCGGATGATAAAGTTTTCAAAGCTTTAGCATTAGCATATTCAAATGCTCATCCTCGTATGCATCTTGGAGAACCATGTCCTTCATTTTTAAATGGACGATTAAACACAGTACAAAATGTATTAGAGAAAAGCTTTCCAAATGGTATAACC